TCAATCTCCAGTTCCACAAAAAAATAAAATAAAATAAAAATAGAAGACCAATAGGAGGAGGGTGAGAGCAAGAGGGACAGGGACAGAAAGGGGGACAGAGTGCTTGACTTCACCTTATAACCTTTATTACTTAAAACTGTGGCTATAGCTATATTAATTATTAAGGAAAAGTTGACAAAGCAAAGTTTATTAGCTATAAATGTCCTATCCTGTCCCATCTCCCTATGAGACCAAAGACACCAAGAGAAGAGGTACATGAGGACATGAAGCTGCACCTAGACGTTTCCACTGTCCTGAATCTAGGCTCACCTCGGACTCTAGCAAAACTTTGCATGGCTACACCTGCCCTCATCAGAGACAGCCGCCCTTGCCCTCAGCCTCCGCTGGATTCCTCCACAGGAGGCACAAAACCAGGGCTGAGATAATGATCACTCAGCCCACCGCAGCCTCTAAAACTGGTGGCCACTCCCTTGTTGGCGGGCCAGTCTGGGCCTTCTCCTCAGACCTGTGCTTCTCTTGGTCCCTCCAACGGAAACCTTTGTCCTTATTTCTCTTTCCTTGTTAGGCGGCCAGCTTGAGCTTCATCAGAGCTTCGCCCTCTTCCTCTGCCCTTCCTTTCGCATTAAAGCTTTGTCCCGTAAACTCTTGCTCTGTGTCTCAGTTTAAATTTTCATTATCAGTGAGGCAAGGACCCATGCTAGCCAGTGACACTAGCTCAGTCACCCAGCTGCCTGGAGCCGGGATGGACAGGATTAGAAGTCAGCTCTGCTGCCACCATGTTATTCATGTATGCAACTTGTCTGTGAGCATGTCTCACATGTATTTGTTATACTGCAGGCTATACTTCTGTAACATGGAGACCCCACATGTTCTCCCCACAGTACATTCCAGAAATGGACACGTGATCCACAGAAGGCACAGTGGAGCGCTGTGGAGATAGCTCAGCAGTCTAAGTGTCTGCATAGGCAAATGCAAGGACCTGGGTTTGATCCCCAGTACCACATGCCATGCCAGCCACCAAGACAGCATGGTGGTACATGCCTGTAATCCCAAAGCTGGGGAGGCTGAAACAGGAGGATCATTGTGAGTCTGAGCTGTATAGTAAAACCCTGTACCAAATACAAAGCAAGAAAAAGGAGGGGGCCAGGGAGATGGCTCAGTAGGATAAGCGCTTGACTGGCAAATGCAAGGATCTGAGTTCAATCCCCGGTTCCGCAAAAAAAAAAAAAA